GTCCACCCGGCGGGGTTTGGCCTTCGCATTTAGGATCGGCGACCGGCCGTCTGAGCCGTTGTTGACAGAACACGTCGCCCGGCGCCGCGTGGACGCCGCCACACCTGGGAGCGGAGCTGAGCCGGACTCTTCTCTCTGGCTGCGGGGGTCAGTCGATCCGTGAACCAGCTGCCCTACCGGGAGAGGATTCCGGGGGACGACGACGGCGGTGGGACTTCCGGCCGAGTACGTTCGGCTCAAGTTTTCGTCCGGCGCCACTTGCGGATTATCCCGCTAAACCTTTCCCGAGCCACGACGCCGCATAATGAGGGGATCATCTCCCTCACGGTCAACGTCTCACGAGCTGACAGCGGACCCTTCGTCACCAACTCCTGGCGCGGCTTATCGAGGTCAAGAATGCCCCGGCGCCGGATTGGGAAGCCCGTCCGACGCTGCAGTGTGTGCGTGTATGTGTGTGTGCGCTTGAGAGGATGAGAGGGGGCGGGGCCTGAACATGACGTTCGTTGGCAGTTCGGCTACCATTGGCTGCCAACCGCTGGAAAATCAACAGCGACTGTATAAAAAGAGCAAACGAGAGGCCGCAAGGTGTGCTCTCCGACGAACAAGAAACTTCTGTACATATGTAATTAAAACAGAGTTTATCGCGAGACACCCTCCCGTCTCCTGATGTCCCTGCCTGGAGTCGGCCTGCGGTTCCTGTCCTCGCCTGGCCCTGCCTGAGGCTGCCTGGGGAGCTCCTCGGTCACAACAGGGACGTCGAATAAATACTCATATAAAATACATTAATGTCGTCTGGCGTAAAATAACACGTTTGCAATCCCAAACGTCAAAACGCTATAAAATCGCAACTGCGAAAGCGGGTTTTCAGACAATTTCCGCCGGTGCCATGATTGGAGAGGGCTCAAACCTAAACCCTATGCGATACATATGAAAGTATAATATTGTAAAACATTAGAGTAAAATACACTTCCTATTGGAATCCTAGATTTTTAAATGCGAGATTTTGTATTTTTAATGCGAAATTCATGTTGATAACAGAACAGAATCATTTTTAAGCATATTTATAGGCTTAATACTCAAAACCAGTGCGTATACCTCTAACGGAATGCATTCTGGGTAAAAGAAAAGTGTAAAAAAAACGCAACGCAAAAAAAAAAAAAAACATTCTTTTTTATACAGCGTGTTCAAATTGAGCGAAAAGTAAAAGCCTTTTTTATTTCATAATTTATTTCTCAGTAGCCGTACGGGATTAAGACACAAACTTTACATAATGTGGAAGGCAATGAAAAATTCTACACGTGGTATTATTCTAAAACCAAAACTAAAATAGTCGACAGAAAAAATATCTGTAGTTTAGGTCACAGTTGTTCGCGGAGGCATGTTTGGGGATTTTTACTAAAATTGGAGCGATGAATAATAAATATTAGTTCGAATGTCGTTTTACCCACTTGCATATATATCGCAATAAAAAAAATGTAGAAGCTCTCTTTTGAATACTTTGAGATTGAGAGCGGTTCAAAGACGCCACACACGAAAATCGTCAAAACCTCGTCGTTCTTTCCCGCTTTTTTGAGATTTTTTTCTCAGAAACTAAACATGTCCGGACATTAAAATAAAAATGATTGTTCTTCTTGGAACATGAGCCACGAAATATAAAAATTTGAAGCACAATAAAAAATACGATTGGCCCTCGTTGTCTGAATCCAAATGAAACCGCCCATATATACAGTATACATACCGGGTGTTTTTGCGAAGACTCAAAAATCCTAAAAATCAGGGCGTTTGAAAAAAAGAAAAATAATCTGTCTTCGGGAACACACTACCAGCCACGGCGGACGTCATGAATTGCCAATAAAATAATAGTTAGCCAGCTAATTAATTAAAATTTATTAGTTAACTTTTTAATTAGTGGAAATAGACATATGGTTCCAATTAGAAAGTTGCTGAGCGTTATCGAAAACCACTAAATCCGTCATTTTTAGAAAAACTTTGAGCGCGGGAGAAAATGAGTAGCGCACTAAAATTACCACTCGTGGAGCAGGTACAAGGCTAACGGTTGCGGTAAGGGGCCCACCCGATTTTCCCGCCTCTTATCTAGCCCCAGCCTTGTACCTGCTCCACGAGTCGTAACTTTAGTGCGCTACTATTCTTCTCAAGCGCTCAAAGTCTTTCTGAAAATGACTGATTTAGTGGTTTTCGATAACGCTCAGCAACTTCCTAATTAGAACCATATGTCTATTTCCACTAATTAAAAAGTTAATTAACAAATTTTAATTAATTAGCTGGCTAATTACTATGTTTTTGACAATTCCTGACGTCCGCCGTGGCTTGTAGTTTCTTCCCAAAGACAGTTTCTTTTGTTTTCAAACGCCCTAATATTTAGGATTTTTGAGTCTTCGCAAAAACACCGGGATACTATATATATATTTTTTTTTTCCTTTTTCTTTATTGTGTGTGTGTGATTGTACCGGCACCCCGAAACACCCCCGAAAATATTTCCTGGTTACACCGCTGCACAGCAACCGTTTTGCATTGACACAGTGGTTTTAAAATAATTACAATATTTTATATTCAAACATTTGGCGAGCAATTTTTCTAGCAATATTTTGCCACCAAGGGGAGATGAACAACGGCGCATGAGCGGCGCCTCTCCTGCAAGAACGAAGATCGCTTCCTGCAATGCTTGAATAGAAAATGGCTTACCATTGCGATTCACACGATTACCAGCGACCTCCGCGCTTCCTTGTGCCCCGTTGTTCTGCAGCACCATGAGTTGCGGAGTGAATTTTACGACAGTGTGAAATGCGGGACATTTTGAAGATTCAAAAATTTCTGGCCGGACGCGGGACACGAGCCCTCAATGCGGGACAGTCCCGCAAGTCGCAGGACGTTTGGTCACCATATATAGTTGGGATTAATGAAGGCCTCGGCGTAAATGCGGCTAGTTAGCTATATGGCGAGATACAAGCGAACGTTGCTGACAGGGGAGTACAGTCCTCTTTGCTTCATTGCCCCTCGTCACGATAACGAGCTTGGAGAGGACACATGATTTTGTCAACTTTTTCTCGATTGTACACTCCGAAAGTTAGCCCACTGCCTATTTTCACCCGATTTGCTCTTGATTTTAGATGGGCCATCTCTCGGGTTATTGCGGTATATCACACTCTCTTTATTCAAACTCGTGGATAATTCCAACTCACACGCAGGTCCCGTCCCACGTGTTTCTAGGAAGGAAACTCCCGGTAATTCAAACGTTGCATTATTCAAACAATGTTCTGATCCCCCTCGGTTCAAATTAACGAAATTCCCGAGTTCTCGGTGAGGTGCAACTAAATGGAGGAGACGAAAATGCGGGGGGACGCTCTAGGGCACCGAACTTCGACTGGAGGGATCAGTGAGTAAACAGTACACTAGCTGCCTTTCTCTCTACTCCCTGTTCGAACGCGTTGGAACATCGAAAACCACGGCGTTCGTAGGGTGAGTGGATACAAAGGCAGCTAGCTTCCTGCACGCCCATCAATCATTCCGGTCCGAACTCGGCGCTCAGGGGCCCCGTCGCGCTTTCATCTTTTTGTTAACCTGATAGTTGCCATGTCACCAAACACTAAAAGTTTCTTCATACGAAAAGCTCTTGTATGTCGTTTTTTTTTTTTTTTTGTAAAAAAAATTTTACAGTTTCTACCTGTTTTTTTGCTGACGAAGTGAGAACGTCAAGGACGAGCTTCACGAACAAGAAGAGGGGGCGCAAGTCAGGTGGTGTAAGTTCGTCAGTGGTGAATCGTTTCATCCTATCGTGTTGTTGTCGTCACCGCAGTCTCGGGTTATAACTCTACAAGTAGCACCTACGGTTGTCCCATTTCCAGCGCCTGCAGCGTGCTACTTGGTGCTACTTTCAACAATGCTTCGACCACGTCTCTCGTGAGCCTCGAGGGTCGCGCGCTCAGCCAAGGCTCGGCGGAAGGCATGCGGGCGTTCGAAAGATGCATGCCCTGGCGTTCTCAGTGACTCGGTGACTATAAGGGATCTTCTAGTTACCGATGCAGCAGCCGTTGTAAGATGGCAGAACGGGGAATTGTTTATACTTCACTATAGCTCAATACCACCTAGAACACAAGGCCTGCGCAGGACATCATCGTACCTCCGACGCGCCCAAGCGGCAAACATGCGGAAGCTTCACGAGGGCCGCCGCAAAGCAGGAGACACATTCGTCTTGGCGTCTCCGCATGCCAGCGTCGCGCTCGTTGCGAGATGCGCTAATGGCGACGCTGATGCGAGCAAGGCGGCGCTGCGTGGATACGCTAGGAATTTCGTTTAGGAGGGGCCTGGTCTTCTACAGGTCTTCTACAGGCATCCCCTCGCAAAATTCAAATTTTAAACTTGCACCTGAAATCGAGCATGCGAACGTATAGTTTCGCAAAAAGTTTGGCCTATATTTTTCAGAGCTGAAGTCGGAGGTGGTGATATATTCAAGGTAGATCAAAAAACGGTGGCTATGCATTTCCTATGCCCCATACGGGATGTTCGTCGTCCCATTGGTCTTTGAACTTGCTCCCGGGTGTCACTACTATCTCCTCATCGCTAGCCTCTGCAATTGGTTTTAGCGTTTCTGCGTTCAGCGAGCCACCCGGGAGCGAGCTCATGAACCTGTGTGCAGACGACAAACATGCTGCTGTAGGGCATAGGAAACACACGGCCTCCGATTTCACCTTATTTTTAATATTTCACCACCTCGGAATTGAGCTCTAAAATGAAATAGACATAAAACTTACGGCGAAACTATGTTCGCATGCCCCATTTCAAGTATGCACGATTTGAATAGGAATTTGGCGAGACGTGCCAAATGTGGTAGTCATTACGGCCGTACCGTGTTGCTGGTATTGGCTGGTTCTGATGAACCGTAGTCGTATTGAGTGGTTGAAGGATATCACATAAAACGGCCATAATCACTTCACGTGGCAAAGAGTCAGCCACACACTCAGCAGGCCGCTCAACGCACTCACCGAGTTCGTTGGAGTCATGCAGGTAGGTTACACTGGGCTCCGTGTAGTGAATGTCCCACCTGCAACCATTGATACGTTTGGCATGCGAGAGCAGCAAGAGGAATACAACTAACACAGATTGCGCGGCAACGTTGCGTGCGTGTGCGAAATGTCGGAAAGTATTCAAAATAGGTTTTGACTTGTCGTACTGTGGCTTGGCATGAAGGTTGGAAGCTTCTTATGGAGGCAACGTGACGCCACCAGAGTTGAAGCCGCAGATCCTTCCGGTTTGGAGGGACACGGCCCCAACCATGACCAAAGATAAAACATCCAAAATACGCTATTGGACGGAAAGGACACCCTTGAACACCCTTGGGGGCTTTTCCACCGACCGCGATCTCTACTGCTGGCTTTACTTGGAACTTCCTCGTTTGGCTGGCGTGAGCCGGAATGTCGCCTCTCCTTCTTCCTACCTCCATGTTCTGTAGGCTGCTAACTTGTTCGACACATTGAAAAAAATGTATCAGCTTGTCCTAGGGCTAGTTACAGCATCACCCTTAAAGGCTGGTTCACACTGCCCCATTTTCTTACGTTAAGTTACGTTACCAAATATTACGTTGAAGTCACCGGGACCTCTGTGCTTCATATTACACGAGGCTACCAGTTCAAGAAGAAAGCATGACGCGCGACATTCGAGACACGAATGTTTCGGTGACTTATACGTAACGTAACTTAACGTAAGAAAATGGGGAAGTGTGAATGCGCCTTAAGGATATCAATCAATCGGTGTTTATTGTAGTGACTGGCACATTGGAATACAAAAGGCAGACACTAATACACAAAGAACTCAAGTGCGGAGCAGGAACGCTGTCCACGTGTCTGACACATAAGACAATAGTAGATTCATAGGGAAGTTCAAGCTCCTATGATATGTTATTACGAATGTAAAAATAATAACGTTTATTTTCAATTTCAAGAAATGGTGGAGTGAAAGGGCAAACGTTTCAGTATCAAGCTTGACGAGCCCTGAGTTCCATTGGCAGTGGTATACAAACAAGTTTTGTCCCGTACATGTATTACCCAATACACACACGCACGCAAAAAAAGAAAAAAAAATGTTTAGTATAACTGCAATAATACTTAAAAAACAAGCGAGCTGGTGATAATTCATGGTAATAAAACCCGAGACTTAGGAACACAGAACGGGACGAACACAACACAACGTCTCAACTTGTGTTGTGTTCGTCCCCTTCTGTGTTCCTGAGTCTCGGGTTTTATTACCATGAATGTTTAGTATACCATGCTGGTGAACAGTCTAAATTAGAATATATTAGCTAGTGCACCTACATTTGTTTTTCGAAAATTATAAAATAATACGTACGATAAGTATCAAGTCATAATTGTAACCAGCTACAAGGAGTCTAGACTCGACGGAATGTCGGCCCGAGAGTCACTAAAGTGGATGCTACGTGCTCGCTGGACCCGTCATATGTCGCTTCTTTATCACGTGATAACGCTCCTACCCATCCGCGCTGAGAGTGAAATCAGGGGACGAAAGATGTCCGATAAAATTATTAATGTTATGGCTAAGACAACAGAGATAGCCGTCTCTGTTGTCTTGGCGAGTCCGGTATCTCGGTACGTGGGCGGGAGCCCTCTCGTCAGGTACAGCGCGAAAGCACGCGACAGCGTGTACAGTGCAATGCGCATCGTTCTCTCGGAAGGGGGTGGTTCCTTTCCAACACTGGGGAGGATTTGGTGCTGTGGGTGCGCTGTCTAATGCAAATGAGCGGAGTAGAATCTATTCTCTACACCAAGGGTTGCAAACTTATTTGAGTGCTGGGGCCAGCTAGCCCACCACCGAAGGGACGAGGTCCAATGAAGAAGAAAAAGAGAGAGAGGGGGGGCAATGTTTTGCTATTTCGGGACAAAAAAAGCAACATACAGCATTTGTGTTTCAGGTTGCAAAGCAGCCGAATGTGCCAGCAACATCCCGGAGGTTTTCTAGCGAAGGAACCTCGTACTTTCTGCTTTTTGTAAGCTCCCTGTTTTGCCATCTTTAGTTTTCATTTCCATATACGACTACTTTGGGCCCATACCTGATGTTATAAGTAGATTTGAAACACGAACGTACTGGCAGTTTTCAATAGAACGAGAGCAACCACAACATGTTGACATGTCGCCCAATTCACTATGCTTACAGGCATAAAAGAAAACCTCCCTTCGTACGGCAGTTTTTTTTTCCTTTTTGCTTTCTTAACAATTTTTATAGCAACATCATGAGAAAATTTTTGTATTTTAAAGGTATTTTCTAATAGCTAGAAGCCCGGGGTTCACACCTTTATCTTTCATGGTTTCTCCTGCTGAGCAAAAGTTTGTGCACCGGAGGTGCCTCCTTGAACAAAGAGCTTGTACTGGTAGCCTATAGTAGTGGTATTACCATTCCGATTGATTTACGCGAGAAAGCGCAGAGAATCAAATATTTAGACGATGGAGTAGTCCGCCGATAAAAAACGGTACAGCTCGATCCATTTCGAGCGGAAACGAATCTACGATATAAAACTTACTTATGGCGCATGTGGCGCTCGAGGCGTGGGAACGGTGGAGTAACTGTATAGGCTCTGCTTGCAGAGCACATGCAGTTACTCTAGGGGACGGGGGTTCGCAGTCGTGGGATGCTTGTGGGTCGCATGTTTGAGACCCCAGCAACCGGGTGTCACGCCGCTGCGGCGGTGCTTTTGTCAACATGGCGCAGCACTCGCAGGCGCTACACTTCACACGAATCTGGTTTCCGCGCACGCGCACCGCGCACGCCCGGTGTGGGCAGACGCCGACTTGTTTGCAATGTGGTGTTCACACGAATAAGAAACTCCCCGACGGGGCTTTGTGACGTCGGCCACCGCGCCGCCTCAGAAAGCCGTGACGTCAGCATCACGTGACGTACACTCCGCGGCGCGAAGTGTCGAAGTTCACCCGCGTGTGAATACCGCATAAACAACGTGAAATATCTACTCGGTTTCACATTACGTCCGACCGCAGGTCAACACTCATTAGCGATGTGCGCGACCAAAAGCGTCGCTGCGGTCAGCTTTCCACGATTGGCCAAAGCATGGGCATGCATATGAGTATTGTCAGAGTGTCAACTTTGACGGTGTTAGTTTCGGATTGCGATGGGTTCTAGCTTCCACTGTGCTTTCTAAACACACCATCGAACTCGTCGTCGCACCTGATGGTAAGTAGCCAGGATAACAACTGGTGACGTCACGGCGAGGCAAATCCCAGTCGTGACGTCACGGATGGAAACCACAAGAGGGCGCCACTGAAACATCTCGGCGCTAATAGGATCCGATGAAGCCACTCAAGCACCGCCAAAATTGCATTGTGACGGTGCTCGCGTTGCCCTTGTGCGGTTGCTGCCACCAGCTAAACCAGTCGCACTCAGTGAATGCCGCGTGATCCTACGCATTCTTTTTTACGCGTGACTGCATTAACCAGCAATGGCAAACGCAGAAGGACGATGACGAAACACTTTTGGCGCTCTTTGATTAGCTCCATTTGATCGTAGCGCTAGCTGCGGTCGGACCAGAAAAGAAGGACAGCTCACAGCGGGGACAGTCCTTTCCCGCTGAGGGCCTTCCAGCGCTTGAGCATGATGGCCGACCGCGCACGGAACCAGTCGGCGAGCGGCGTCTGTCCGGTCAGGTCAGGCACCTGGCGGTAGATCTGCTCGAGCACCATCTTGTCCTCGACGAAGGGCGGGTAGAGCAGGTGCTCCTGCACGCCGTTCAGCTTCTGGATGGCGTACTGGCTCACCGCATCCTGCATCCACGGGTAGTCGATCAGCTGGTGCTTCAGCTCGTCCACCACCCGGGTCAGCATCTCGCGCACCTGGGAGGGCGGAGCAGGTGGGAACCTTCTTAGCCGCTCCTCAAGAACTATTCTGGGCTCTGCAGCCACCGCTGAGTCGAAACCAGTTTGTTGGGGCGTTAGTCTGGCAACTGCCCGCGTGCCTTAGCAAAGATTGGAGACGATCTCTGCACACTGTCCACCCCTAAGCTGAGACTGCGCCGAAGGCTACGTGCCCGCCGGGCCAATCAGTCGCCTCTCTCTTTTCACCTGACCCGGTTCTCTGCGCCTGGCGGAATGTGACGACGGGGATAAAGAGAGGCGTACGACTATAGTCCAACGAGGACATAGCTTCCACCGCAGTTTTAGCTTCGGGGTGAACGGGATATAGACCCTTTTGCTGTTTACAAAACATGAACTGCCGCTTGCGCCCCATGCGACTTGCGGTCGCATTCTCTTTGCAAGCCTGTTGAGCTTGCTTATGTCACCAGTGCTAGAAAGCATAAATGCTACATGGACAACAAAGGTGGAGATTGCACGAGGGCCTTCGGCTGTACAGCACTATAACTTGGAGGAGGCAAGTTGGTTTACAAGAACATTGGAAACATTTTAACAGATCTCGCACTCCTTCGTTCTTTTGGCGTTCACCTGGAGACTTGGGGTTAAACGTTTCACCTACATTTCAAGCAGTGGCGTTGAGGTGGCATTTGTTAATACTTTTTGTATTCTCTGGGACGTCAAATGCTCTAGCACCGCCTGGTGGCGTTTGCCATAAAAATGGTCTAAGGGCTCATTCACACTGGAAGCGGATCCGCGTTCGCAAAGCGGTTGCGAACGCGGTTGTATAAGGATTCAGTACAATTGCACGCGCATTTGATGACATCAAATGCGCGTGCAATTGCACTGGATCTTTATACAACCGCTTCGCGAACGCGGATCCGCTTCCAGTGTGAATGGGGGGTAAGAGGGTGACCCCAGATGCCGTACTTGCAAGCTCGCTAGGGGCGCTCCTATTTTCCTCACTATGGTTAGTGCAAGTGCTAGTCACGCAATTATGTTTTAATTTTCATAGTGCATAGAAGCTTGGCATTGCACTTGCTTGCACCAGCAGAGGATGTTAAACTATCCTCGCTCTGGGTTGTGAAAAAATTTCATCAGGCAGCAAAACCAACACTTCTCGCCGCGAATAGACTTTTGCGAGCATGCTACGATTAAAAAAAAAACAAGTGGATATAATGTTTTGTTCGGGCGCCAGTCTGGCAGCTCTGGGCACACCTCGACAAGGCTTGACTCGATTATGGTGGAGGGGAGTCACGTGGTGCTCCAGTGATGTTGTTTCTCTGCGTCACACAAATCTGTTGGTGGGGGCCGCGTGATTTCTTCCTTCGCATTTTGTCGGCTATAAAGAGGGTGCGTATATGTAGAGAGTTTGGTCATTATTTGGTAAGAATAGGGCAAAAATAAGGGCACGTCATTGGCCTAAATTGTTTGAATTACCTTGGGAACAGTGATTGACAGCTCCTGTGACCAACAACTAGCCTGAATTATTTTCCTAGAGGAGGCCTTAACAAGAACCTTCCCATCACAATTCACAGGTAAGGATGTATTCAAGTATTTCATTTCAGCACGCTAGAGTCGAAATTTGCGACTTTTCGTAACTGAAAGGGCAACGCATGTGACGGTGTCGTCACGGCGACATTTAGAACCCACTTAAACTTTCTTTTTACTGCACTCGCGACCGCTTTTCAGATATATTTATTTTGATGCAAAAAGATGGGTACAGAGATGTACAGATCTGTGGCGGTCGTGTTCAGTTCACTTCGAAGGGACGACTGGTTGAGCACGACCAGTCAAAACCGTATGACAATATGAAAAGGTCGACTAAACTGGTATTGAAAAGAAATGAAAGCCACATACATAAATGGAAAATTAAGAAGATGACAGTTCTTTGGCAGAAATATTGACAGTTTATTAAGTTCCACTTGAACACAGCAGGGCACCACTTTTCATTAGGCGCATCTCTCTCTATACACGGCTGTGCAAGCGAGTCGTTTTCATCGGAATTCTATGCAGCCCTTCGCTCCCGCCCTTCACGCTTCCCCTTCAAGCCACCATAACTCCATCTGCACACGTCAGCACTAAGGTGGCGGCACCCAGATGCCATGCTTGCAAACGTCTCTGTAGACCATTCCAATATAATCCCCTTCTCCGGTCTGCCATCTTTGTTTACTAGAGAAGGTCCCATGCATTCCGGCCTCTTCGAAACAGCGGACATATAGATAAGGACATCGGTGGTCCCAGTGGGTGGTCCCGATTGGCCCATATCGTTGGCGACGCCTTAATACTCACAAAGAAGTAGCAAAACATTATCTGTAAGGTATGTGCCCAGTTCTTGTCTAGCTTTGCAGGAAAACACCGGCGTCGCGCATTGTATAAAGATAAAGTTGACATGCACTCGAACTTCAGCGTACCGCGGCAAAACGAACGTGCCTATCCTATCGTCTGCTTTTTTTTAATTTTTATCTTGCTTTTTACCCATTCCTTTTCTCAGTCGCTCTTCAAAAGCTGGTATAGACACTTCTGGTGGAAATCAATTTGTTGAGGCAGCACCCTGTCCACCATGGGCACACTTCGCCAAGGGTGGTGAAGCAACAACCTACACGCACCAGAAGCAAGATGGCAGCGCTCAGCTGCGCTCAGTTCAAGAAGATAACGCCCATTGAGAGGTCCTTTAATAGCCATTTGTCAAACCGCCCACCAATTGTGGCTATACGGGCCGTTGCCAATAGGATGGCGAAATAGGGCGCTGGAAATATTTACATATGGCGCCTGTCGAATGACGTTCATAATCAGCCGTGGCAGATAGATTAACTTCTATGGGCATCAAGGAACACTTTTGAGCAGGCTTTAAAGCGATTCAGCTTTAAACCCGGGATACCCCCGGACGTATATAGGGCGTACATTGGCTCGCGTAGCGGTGGCTTGTTCCACGAAGGGTCTCGCGAGCAGGGCCGTGGCAGCGTGACTCATCAGTTCCTGGACGAGCCGCACGCAGAGCCGCTCCGCGCGTGGTCCGCCGTTTCTACGTGGCAGGGCCACGTGCGGGGACAGGCTGGACGGCACCAGGGGGCTCGACTCAAGCAGCAGCTCCAACACCAGGTAGTTGTAGACCACCGCCCTGCGCATGCGCATACTCGTTGAAAGGCCGATACAGACCGACACGTAAAGGCTGGTTCACACACTGGTAAGCTGTAACTGCATACCACCGAGTGCCTTAAAACCTTTTGATTACGACGAGAGAACACACTGGAGCCATCTGTCGGGTAGTGGAGGATTTCTGTATATTTCCTAATTTTTTTTTTCACGCATAGTTCTTTTCTTTTTGGCTCGGAAAGCTTTTTACAATGCCATCAACTACAATTTCTCATAATTAGTTGAAAGATTTGACCTCGCGAACACTGCAACACTTTCGCTCTTGCAGGTCTAGTGAAATGCAGTTCTAGGGCCACCTCATAGATGGCGCGATCGTGTTCTCTCGTTGTAAGAGATCAAAAAGAGGTTTCCATGTAAACAAACAATGTTTCCATAATCATCGTTATCATCATGGCAGGGATCCAAAGCGTTTATAAGAAATTTAGTTGAATTATTTTCAACCAATACATGGTCGAAAAATTTTTTTTTTTTTTTAGTGGCGTTCTTATTATAAAAGCTTTCAACGAGAAGGGCTATCAGAGACATTATTTTCTTTATAAGGTAGTTGGAATTGTTAAATACGAGAGTTGTTAGCATTGTGAACTTCATGCGCCCACTAGAGCTAGTTGTAGTTTCTAAACGTTTTACCCCCATAACGACGAGCGCAACATTAGTACAGGGCGACGCCAAGATGCAGGCGTTTGCGGCATTGACGCGTATACTGTCGTTGAGTTTCAGCACGCATTCCGCTTGTAGCAGGGAGGGGGATCCACTAACGAAGGCGTAATGTTCGGGCCTTTTGCCCTTGTCCTTCATTCATTGAGAATGCTCGGCATAGTGTCAAGGATTACGCGAGAGTTTGAAAGGCTGCCATTTGCGCGTGTGCTGCATAATTGCTTCGCCCGTTCAAAATTGGAATTTACTTCTTCTGCTTGGGATTCATTTAATCCTTCAAAATCGAAGCGTGTTGAAAGCGTACAGAGTCCCTTTGGCTTTATTGCTTGAATTTATGACCGATATCCAAGAAATAAATATTATTATAACTACAACTGTCTGCTGGTTAAAATGGGCATGGGCAGTGCACGTTCGGAGAAAAAAGATCTTTCTCATTTTTTTTCACAAACTTTCAAACGGCAATGTGTCACGCTCAAGTTACTATCCAACGTAAGCTTTTGTTTCTCTTCTTTCTCTTTAAAATAAATAAAACGTGTTTTTCTTTTTTTTTTTTGTGTGTTTTTTTCTTTTTGGTGGGCGCTGCCAGCTTTCGCGTGTAACCCGATCGGAAGTTATGTTTAATGGTTCTCCGTCACCTTCAGTTGACATGTTCATGCCTTCAAGCTATATAAAAAAAGTATTTTTAGAATCATAGTAAGATATGTAATTTTTATTAATTCCGTATTTAATGTTTGATGCGTGTGTGTGCATCTTTTTTTTTTCTGTGTGTGCGCGTTGTGATGCACTACCGGGAAGGCATGTTGCTGCTGGTGGGCGTCGATAAATAAACATAAACAGTGACAGGGCGAAAACGCCAGGGAGGTCTTTCAGAAGTCTCGCCTCCCAACGCGGGCATCCTTAATACATCGTTGTCTGGTGAACCTCGGGCGCTCACGTGCAATCAAAGCACGACGGAAGGAACCTGACGTGCGCCGAAGGCCGTGCGTTCGAGAGAGATGCCCTGCCGGTTTTATGGCAGATGTACAAGTTACCCAAAAAAAGTAATTAAGTTAAGTTACTGAGTATTGACCTCAGAAGTAATTTGAGTAGAGTAGAAATTACTCGAATGAAAAGTAAATGAGAAAATGACTAATTACCGTAAAAAGGTAGCGAATTACTTTGGAATTTACTTTGAAGTTACTTTTATGTTTTTTTTATGGTAAAAAGAAAATACACAGGTTTTGATCCGTTAGCGAAACTGTGCTAGCAAAATATGGATCGGATTGTTTTTTCAAAGAAATTTTTTAATAGCTGGATCTGCTTCTAAGTGCCTAACTGTTTTGGACTTTCTTGTTTGTTTGGTTAATGATGTACTGCAAATGTGTTATTTATACTTTGAGGTTTAGCACTGCCTGAGCTTGATTTTTAGACAGCGTTTGCTTGTTTACAGTGTTGCGTAAAGTACATCTAAGAAGTACTTCAAATAAAGTAAAAGAAAATTAGAGGTTATGTACTTCAAGTAAAGTAGTAAGTACACCGGGCGCAATGTACTTGAAGTAACAAAATATAAATACACTATATTTCAAGGTAAAGTACAGCGCTTTTAACAGAATTATTGATGATGCCCTTTCATTTCCTATACAGTGTTTTTTTTTTTTTTTTTAACTGTTACGCATTGCTCCAGAGGTAATCGGAGGTGCATCAGGTTTTTTCGGAAATGGCACCAAATGTGGCGACTTCAACTTTCCGAATATTGATTGGAACTCCCTTTCATCAGGTCATCAGTTTGATAATGAGTTCATCGACCTAACTCTTACGTTTAACCTCTCCCAAATGATAACTAAACCAACAAGAGTTAGCCATCACTCTAGCAACATTCTTGACCTGTGCCTTACTACTGACCCCTCACATGTGAATAACATCACTCATCTTCCCGCTATTAGTGACCACAATGTTATACACTTAAACCTGCAGTTTGACGTCGTCATCAGATCATGCCATTATAAATTTATTAAAGACTACAATAAAGCTGACTATGATGCAATTAATAGAAATCTTCAACAGTTTTATGATACTTTTCATATCAACTTTTATCAAAGAACAGTTGAGGAAAATTGGAATCTCTTTAAAAACAAGGTAACAACTCTGACTGACACGTACGTTCCAACCATCAGAATTAAAACAAACAATGCAAAGCCTTGGTACAAGAAAATCTCCAAATTAAGTGCTCGGAAGAAACGACATTTCAAGCAAGCTAAAGAAAAGGACAATACTATTGCATGGGATAATTACAACGCGTCTGCTAAGGAATATAAAAGAGAAGTGAAAAATGCAAAGAACAAATTTTTTAACTTCGACATTCTTAACATTTTGAAGAATAAGCCAAATAAGTTCTGGGAGGTCATTCATCCGAAAGAGCATAAATCCATCCACCTGACTAAAATGAATGGAACTCCCGCGTCTGATAGCGAAAGCGCCTCACTAATAAATACCTACTTTAGCTCAGTATTTACACTAGAAAACAATGACAATATTCCTCTCCTAAATCACCTTTCTCATTCTGCTATGCCTTCAATCGAAATAACGTATTTGGGTATAGTGAAAGCGATAGAAAATCTAAAAAATTCTGCCAGCTCCGGTGATGACCAAATAAATTCTAAATTGCTGAAAAACACAAAACATATCTCATCCCAATTTTTAACCCTTATTTTTCAACAGTCACTTGATGTCGGCAAGCTTCCGTCTGATTGGAAAATTGGTAGAGTCATCCCCATTTTTAAAAGTGGGGATCGTAATGTTGTATCGAACTATCGCCCAATATCTCTCACCAGCATCTCATGTAAATTACTAGAGCACGTCATTTTCTCTTCTACCATGAAATATCTGGAAAATTACAATCTGCTTTTTAAAAATCAGCATGGTTTTCGTAAGACATATTCGTGTGATACCCAGCTAATACATTTCATTCATGAGCTTCACAGTAACCTTGACAACAGATTACAGACCGATGTCATTTTCATAGACTTTTCTAAAGCATTCGATAAAGTTCCCCACCAACGTCTTCTACAAAAACTAACCCAACTGCGTATTCATAATTCAGTAATCACTTGGATCAAAAATTTCCTATCCGATCGTACACAATATACTGTTGTAAACGAGTCCCGTTCACCTCTTTCTCGTGTAACGTCCGGCTTACACCAAGGTAGTGTTCTTGGCCCCTTGCTGTTTTTAATATATGTTAACGGCCTTCCTGCTAACCTAACATCTGAAATTCGCCTCTTTGCTGACGATTGTGCTCTATACAGACCGATAAGTAAGAATAATGATCACCTACTTTTACAGGCTGACTTACTAATAATAGAAGAATGGTGTCAAACATGGCAAATGACAGTTAATGTAAATAAAACGAAACTAGTGTCTTTCACCAGATCACAGTCCCCATCACTCTTTTCATATCAACTCAACGACACAATAATTGACCCCTGTACATCTTATAAATACCTCGGCGTTCATTTAACCTGTGATCTATCTTGGGCAACTCACATTAACTTTATTTTGTCTAAGGCTAATTCATCATTAGGATATCTTCGGCGCAACCTCAAACTGGCCTCACCTGAAATTAAACAATTATCATACATAACATTTGTTAGATCTCGTCTAGAGTATGCGTCTTCTGTATGGTCCCCATGGCAGCATTACCTAGTTATGAAATTAGAGGCAATTCAAAACCGAGCTTTAAGGTTCATTTTCTCAGACAACTCTCGTTTCACTAGCGTAACAGGCCTAAGAAGCAAAGCTAACCTTCACACACTTTATTTTAAACCATGGTTATTAGTGTGTTATTGACCCCCCTTGTATAATGCCCTAACGGGCCCTCAAGGAATAATAAATGAAATGAAATGAAATGTTGCATGAAGTCAAGTCGCCACAAAGTAGTTGTTTTACTCTCGCTGATGAGCTAGTTGACACAATCAACTTGATAATGTAGTGATTGCGCAGGCGAGCTGGTGGATGTTAACCATTTTGTTCTTAGCCCGAGACTGAGGCAGGAAAAGAGGAAAGTTTCGAAGTAGAAGAAAAATGAACAGTCGAGGACACGTCTCTAACACAGCTAAAGACAAGTTTATTTGGTCACCTTCTTATATACACTCCACAAACTTCACCACATCGGGAAGGTGCTGTGGTGAAGTTTGTGGAGTGTATATAAGAAGGTGACCAAATAAACTTGTCTTTAGCTGTGTTAGAGACGTGTCCTCGACTGTTCATTTTTCTTCTACTTCGAAACTTTCCTCTTTTCCTGCCTCAGTCTCGGGCTAAGAACAAAATGGTTAACAATCAACTTATAAGCAACTTATTTCTATCGGTCTCATAGCCACCATTACTTCACTCAGAGAAATGAAGAGCGCGTTTTCACACGATCATACGTTATATTTTTCTTTACGAATTCGGAGAATGTACGTTGAAGTCGGGAGTTCTACTTTCCTCGGAAAGCACAAGTACATGTTCATAAAATGTACTTCAAGTCAAGTTGAAGTTTCAAACAGTAGTACTCGAAGTACCATGTACTTAGAGTACTTCCCAACACTGCTCGTTTATTATTGTTTATATATAAAAACGTTGGGGCAATTACTAAGGTTTCTAGAACGATCTTCAAATATTTGAACATTTGCATATTCTATATTTTGGTGGGAAAGGCAAAGCAAAAAGGTCCCCTTTGCGTTGCCCTTGAGCACGCGATTCTTCGAGTACAGCACAACCAGAGGCCCTAATCTGGACACTTGGCTAGAAATCTGGCGGCCGTGATTGGACAACGCCGCACTTGACCTTGGCGCCGGCCAATAATAGCTAGCCGCCGGATTTCTCGCCGACTGTTTCGCCAAGTGTCCAGATGAGGGCCCCAGATGAGCTTCCGAGGACGTGCTGCATTTTTGTTGCCTCCTTTGAGTAAGGATGCAGTGTGTGCACCTCCCGTAGTGGGCGAGAGTTTCTACGTTTGGGAGAAGCGGGAACCAGCCCTTTCTTCGAATGGCCATTGTCATGCATACGGCATGCATGAGGCAGCGGATTCAGCGCCGTCGCCGACGGGTTGTCGGGCTTTGTGATTATTATATTTTTATTACCCGTGGTGTGCGCTGATTGGCGCGTCGAGGAAAGGCGACGGGACGACGGAAGGAAGAATCGACGAGACGGGCAGTTTTGGGGCTGGAGCTGGTTCAAGCAACACTTGGAGCCCGAATAAACCGCTTTGCTCCCAAAGGCTGGCTGCCTGCCTTCCCGGGTCCCATGGCGCCCAAACCACAAGCCCTCCCTTCCGAAGCTCAAGGAGACTTGACGGCAGTCACTGCCGTCAAGTCTCCTTGAGCTTCGGAACACAAAGAAACGCCAGTCTTCGGCGCTAATCCCGCAGTTACTCGGTTGCTCTTGCGTCGTGCCTGTTCGCTCCCCGCGGCTCGTAGCAGTGTTGTTGCAGAGGCGAAGGGGGGGGGGGGGGGGGGGGGGGGGGGGGGGGGGGTTCGGGAATATTTTTGGGGGTTTCGTACTCTCCAAACCATTTTCTTCTCCCCCCCCCCCCCCCCCCCCCCCCCGCCTCCTACGCCACATGCTTCCCTCTCTTTGCAAATATCAGCTGATCTTCCAACTTGTTATCTCTTTTGTGCAGGAATATTTGTTGATGGGCAAAACAACCACTATAATTCCTAAGCAAGTTGTAATTTGAGTAGAAGTTACTCAAAAAAGCAAATAAAGTAAACTACTAATTACCGAAATAAAAATGTGATTAAAAGTTACTAAACTACCCAGAAAAGTTGTTAGACTATAGTATCTTGAGGGGAGTAGTTGAACTACGTACAAGTCTAGTTTTATTCCTATTTCGCTCGCAAGCGCACAAGCTGGTTCGGCAAGTTTTTGATAGGTCGTCTTTTCCACAAAACATACGTGTTATGCGGCGAAGTCGATACCACAAATCTCGGGGCGTAGTTTCATAAAACCGGTTTGTTGGCCAGGCACGAGCATAATTCCGACTATGCTTCCTTCCCAGTCCTGTGTTGAGTCGGAAAACTCGCGATGAACAGCTGGGCTATTTTGGACGCCTGTTTTCAGTTTTTTCTTCATCAACCGCAGCTGCTCTCACCGTTCTTTGGCGCAGAACCATATGCACTTGAAAGACGATATGGTACTCGGGCTGGCAAGACTGAATGCCGGAATGGATACATGTTGACACACAACAGTGAGTAGCAGATTGAAAAAAAAAAAAAAAAAATTTAACATACCTCAAGTCGCCTGGTTAGGGAATTCTATGAGGGAGGATACGAAATTTGATAATACAAAATACCACATGCAATAATGCACTTATTACACTCACAAGAAAAGAAGCGTATCAAAATAAATTTCTTTTCGACGATAGCGATATTGATAAATACAATTTAAAATAAAATTCACACGCTCACATGCCTCATATCTGATAATTCACTTTGCAATGTATCCTGTCGGCAGGCCTTTTATTATCGAGTAGCGATATCCTCGCCTTTCGGTCTTGAGAAGGAGCTGACCCAGGGCATCGAGATAAGCCGGAAACACGACCACGACGTCGACTGTCTGGAGCGGTACCACGTCTTCAAGCAGCGTGGCAAAGAAGTTACGCCAATTCCACTGAAAACCAAAGCACACCGTCTCAACCAAGTTAGATGGTTGAAGCACGTTGCAAAAATGACAACAAAAAAAGTGTGAATACATTTTTTTTGCCTACTATTTAATTAACCAGGTGGTCTGTGAACCGATTTCGACGGCGGCGCCAAGCTCGTGATAGCGGGAAAGAACAGAAACTCATGCGTGACGTTCTTCGCATAATTTGCATAAAAACGCAAACATTTTGCAGAGTTTCTCTGTATTACATAAAAATCTAGCATAGAAATATTCAGCGCGAGGAGTTTCTGTCTTCTTTCTTAGGCGGCTGGATTTCTTAGAGTGTATTGGCAAATGCTTGGTACAAATTACGATGTCACACTTTGAGGAAGCCAACTTTTTAGTAATTTTTCTAAGCCGGTTGGATCCTCTTAATCCCAGGTAGTAATTCGTGGCAAATTGTGCCGATGCTCCGTACACCCCAGGGCTTACATAACGGTTGCCAGACGAATCATCCACGTACTTTTCATCACCAGACCCTGCCCTTCGGGCATGGGTATGAACGGGAGTGTGATCACGTGGTGTAGGAGAGCAACGTATCAGTAGCCCACTTAACACGTAGCTTCCACTGCGCTCTCAGCTTAGCGGCAAACAGAGTATTGGCGATTCGCGTCACGTATTTTTGAACCTTTTCACCGCTTCGTTTTTAGGCCATCCCGAGGGAATATCCGATTCCCTCGGGAAAGCTGGCGAGTGAACCTGCCTCTACAGCTTTCTGTTTAAGCCGCTAGGAATGGTCGAAGGACAAATAGAAGCAAAATGTTATTAAAGTAACTTATTTAATCTCAAGCAAAAAAAGAAAAAAGAAAAGAAAAAGAGATTTGGCTAGGTGGCGCAGGTTACCGCCCGATTCAAAGGGAACAACGCCATGCACGCGTCCATCTATCCATTGGCAACAGCCCCTCATTCTAGCCGCTAGCCTGCCCGGACAGGAGACTCACCATCTTGTTCTGTGGCAGACTGAAGACGCGGAGTGTGCGGTAGCGAGGGACGAATGGAGCAACCGGGTTCGTTGCCTCGGCGCTGGCCTGCACATTCCCAAAGTACACGACTGTTGAACGTTACGCTTACAGGCATAGTAGGCGTTCCAAACATCGCTCTCTTCTAGTCGTCAATGGTATGTTCGTATTTCAAACTAACACCGAAAAAAAAAATTAACAAGAATATAGACCCTTATGTAACATACTTTTTTTTTGTCATTAGCATCAGGCATACGCATAGGGTAAAAGGGGCTAGTTTTTTTTCTTTTGGCCGGGCTACACGCTGACACTGATTGAAAACGCATCGTACTTCTCTATATTAGCATGATATAGTAACGGTATGGATATAACTAAGTTATAAACATAAGGATGTTGACAGAACGAAGATGTGCATATGACGAAGTTATGCATATAAAGAATAAATTAATATAAAATAATTATGAAGAGGGAGACGCCTAGTTGAAGTATGCTTTATTACCTATAGATGTATTTGAAGAACTGATATCGGGGAAATTTGTTTTCTAAGAAAAATACTTTCTAAAGAAGAGGTTCTCCTGTACCCTGCCGTGCAGTATCCCAGGCTCACCTGCTCCACTTGCCGTTGGAACTCGAGCAAAGAGCGCACAAGCCGCGTCTCCGGAAGGCGTCCAGTGAGTGCTTGCAGCGCCTTGCTGGTGTGGTTAAAAAGAGAACCGGCTTCCCGAACACGCAACTTCGGAGGCCTCAGCTGCGCAACAGGCAGAGCAATCAATCAATCAATCAATCAATCAATCAATCAACCAATCAACCGATCAATCAATCAATCAATCAATTAATAAATTAACTAATCAATCAATTAATCAAGCAATCGCTTAATCAATCGCTTAATCAAGCAATCAATTAATCAATCAATTTATCGCCTCATTAATCAACCAATCAATCAATTGCTTAACCAATCAATCAATCGCTTAATCAATCAACCGCTTAATTAATCAACAAACAAATAAATAAATAAATCGCTTAATTAATTAATTAATTAATAAATCAATCGCTTAATTAAGCGATCGATCAATCAATCACTTAATCAATCAATCAATCAATCAGTCGTTTAATTAATTAATTAATTAATCAATCGCCTAATTAATCGCTTAATAATCAATTAAATAATCAATAAACCAATCAATCGCTTAATTAATCGCTTAATAATTAATTAAATAATCAATAAATCAACCAATTAATTAATTAACCAATCGTTTCAATCAATTAATCCATGCAATCAATCAATCAACCAACATACCAATCAATCAATCAACCAACCAACATACCAATCAATCAATCAATCAATCGATCACATTTTTTTGCAGTGAAAGATGGTAGCTGGGGCAAAAAGCTGCAACAAGTGCAGCTGGACAAGGCTTCCAGATCCCGGGTTGTGACAATTATTATTGTTGTTTATTAAATTATTTTTTGTAAACTTCGCCGTACAAAGATCATTATTGTTCTTATTGCTTTTTTGAGGGTGTAGGTAGTCTCGGCCTATTTCAAAGCATACTTTCTCGCTGATACTCCTGGATGCATACTGCCCCTGCAATGCACTCGGAACTCCGATTAAGGGTCGCCTTTTAGATTCGGTCTCGGTGGCAAAAGCCTGGGATGCCTCTGTGCATCCCGGTGCAGTATCCAGGCAGGCGTTTCAGGAATGGTGTTTATGTGGCGTGACCAGAGATCACCTTTAGATAAAGGAAAAACAATCCGAGAATAGTTATAATTAATTACTTAATTAATGAATTAAATGATTTTTGTTTATTTCACTCGCTTGTGACCAGCTGACATTGCCAATGATAGAGAACAGGAAGAATGTGAGAAATAACTTTATTGAATTTAAATAAAAATTCAATAACAATAAAACCACTGAAAAAAGAAAAAAAAAAGCCAATTTATCATAAAGTTGCCACGGGCATAACGGAAAGTTGGGGAACGTAAGAGGGGAACAGCAAATCAAGACGCTCACGCCTGACATTACATCTTTGTTGTATGTCCCTTTGAAGGCGTAGCATTTATCTTAGCAAACGACGTTTTACACAAAAAGAAAACAAACCCAGAAAACCTGCTCTTAATTTTTTTTAACGATGTTTTATAGTATGGGGTTGTCCACTTTAGCGAACGGTGTTCGCGTACGTGAGAAAGTTGTTTTAAAAATGAGGGAACTGCCAGCATGGTGGGACAGGAGTATTCCGCGTGGGCGCAGCCATCGCGTTACTGTTCCATTTTTGTTCATGAACAAACACGAAAACGGTCGTGGATTTTTTTAGTCTTTACGTGTATTGTGCAATGCGGTCTGTGCAGGTGTGTTTTGCGGCCAGGGAGGCGTAGTATACGGGGATAATCCTCATACTAACTTATTTAATTAACTAAAATATGTTAATTACCTTTATAATTAGTTTTAATAAACATATGGTTCCAATAATAGACTTGTTGAGCGTCATCGAAAACTCTTTATTCAGTCTATTTTATAAAATACTTGGAGTTCTTGGTCTACAGTTACCGTTTGTGCAACAAGCACAAAGCTGGAGACGCGAAAACGCGGACGACAAGAGACGGAAAAACGTCGCGTGCATGCTTTCGCGCACACACCTTTGCACCTGTTGCACGAGCGTAACTCTAGCAAATTACCATGCTTATCACACGCTCTAAATTTTTCTATGATCTAGTAATTTAAAGGTTCTCAATGGCACTCACCAAGTGCCTAAATGGAACCATATGTTTAGTTGGACTAGCTAAAAAAATAATTAACAACTTTTAGTTAATTATTTGAATCGACAAATTGTCATGATCAGCCCCGTCTAATATGTCCCCCTAGTCGTATAACTGACCTGCAAAAAACCGCATTAGTGTAGCTTTCACGGTTTTCTTAGAACAAACCGGTAAAATCCACGAAAAAAAAACAAAAAAAACAACTGCTTATTATTAGTTATCGACGCGAGGACCTTCCTTGTTGACTGAGGAAATTATAGTGAAGCGACCTTGAATACGCGGAAGTCGTATATACTCATAGAGTAATCTTAGTGTATTATTCGAGTATTCAAGCGCTTGGACGAATTGGTAATCGATCAGAAAATGGTTGACAGAAAATACAGACATGAAACTCCTTGATCGCTCAGACGCGAGACAGTCTCGTTCAATCACGCCTCCCTGGTCGTAGTCTTGCGCCAGCAGCTATAGCCCCCCTAAAGTCTTAGTTGAAGTGCATGTTTCGAGAACTGATTATCTTAAAATATACACTTTCAAAATAAGACAGTGTGAGAAAGCGCCTTCAGGAATAAGAATGACCCTTCGGTTTTCTTTTTGTTTATTACACTTTATCTGGAGTCTTCTGTTTGACCAACTCTACCAGAGGACAACATTTGTGAGTACTTCGGTGTGAAATTTCTATAAAACTCCGTCAAACGGAACAACAACGCCACTCGTTTTTTTTTTTTTCATGATCGTTTTGTTTTGTGTGCTTTTTTGGTAGTTTGTATTATTTGTCGAACAACATGCCTTGCCCAACTATGCGACACAGAAATACAATCGAAAACACTAATTCACCTTTCCTGGGGTTTGCTATTCAAACTAGCCGTCTTAATTTGTTCAGACAGTTTTGCTAAAGATTTGATATGATTATATGTGTATGTTAACACTAACAAATCGTCCAAATATGGGTAGAGCACCGCTGGCTTCAACCTGTCGAAACTACGGGCCAAGATTTTACACCAAATGATCAACATTAAGCTTAAATTTATAGAGTACGATGTTTTTTATATAGCTTCAGATGGTTCCATGAATTGGTTATTGGACTTTAGCTGCTCTTAGAATTGGTTCGCAGCCTGCGGTCAGTGCCTTGATAAACTGTCTAAAATGGTGGTCCAGTGTTCCGGCCAGGTTCGTCAAGAGGTGGCAGCCCACTGTTTAGGTAGACTGTTAACTTGGAACAACAACCGTTCAAGTGCTGTTTAGGACTGAGGGCTCCTACATTTTATAATACAATAAAGTCCTCTTTATCTCTCGCTTTCTAAAAAAACAAAAACAAAAAAAAATAACACGCTTACTTTAAGTTGCCGGTCGAAGTATGCGTCGACAATTTTTACGCGCAAACACAGATATGAACAAGAGAACGTGAGCGCGCCATGATCTAATTTAGAAGAAACATGAGCGATGGCTGTAACCCTCTGAAGCGCGCAGGATTTTTATTTTTTTAATAAAAGTTTTTACAATTCCTTTCGCCTCCCTCCCTCCCCCCCCCCCCCCCCCCCCCGTACACACAAAGAATTTTCTAAGCAAAACGTACATAAACCTAGAAGTAAACCTTACATACACTCTCGGAACTTCCCCCCCCCCCCCCCCTCCCCATAGATCGACACGCTGTTTACAAACAAGCCGGCGTTTGCCCACACCAGGTGTGGGCACTGCGCGTGCGCAGGAACCGAATTCGCGTGAAGGGAAGCGTCTGCGAATGCGCAGTGCCGTCGACAGCGCCACCGCAGCTGCGTGACGTCAGGGACGCGTGTTGGTCAATAGAAAGATTCCCCCCCCCCCCCCCCCCCTTTTAAATGGACCTTTAAATGCCGTTGTATTTGTGTTCATCGCTTCCTAAGTTTCTATGCTCTATACTACCATACTCCAGAAATAATCGTCAAAAGAGACAATATACACGCAAAGGTATACACGCTGAATATGTTGGTCGTGCGGGACGACGCCCTCCGAAAATGGCGAAAGTGGGAAGCAAGGCCAAGGGAGAGGGTGTACGCATGCGCAGAAGCTTACTGGACAAAGGTCCATTGAGGTACGCAGGATAAAGCCTGCGCGTACATCCATCCAGGGGTGTACCTACATAGAGGGCGACGGTGGAGCGGTTTCCCGGAGTGGCTGCCAGCGTGATCGAAGCCAAGGGTCCCAGACCCAGATGTCGCATCATGGAGGCCGCCAGGGTCTCCAGGGCCACGGGAGGCTCCTTTTCGAGCGGCATGAGCGGGAAGACGGAGACGCCAAGACCGCGGATCACGTCCCACCAGGGCGCGGACCCCTGGCGCTCCAGCTGACCTGCATCGTCCGTCACTCTCCCTTGCCCAGTCGAACGCGCTGGCCCAATCCGGGTTAAGAGATGTTTTGGTGGATCCTTTTAAGCCGGGGTCACGTTGCTGAAACGCGAGTTACCGCGAGATCCGTGCTTCGAATGCCCGATGGCAATACGTTCATGGAAAAACATGGCACGCGGAACTCGAACCACGGATATTTCGGTGACTCGTGTTTGCAGACTGTCTTTTGTGTGATGCATGCACAGTGTGAACCTGCTTTAGGATTCCTATCTGTGCCGTGACGACAAGGGTTATCGATTGCCAGCGACAGTTTCGATGGTGCATCAAAAAGCAGCGTGGAAGCTTGGAGTCATCACGCGTCCTTAAACCAACACCGTCCAAGTTCACAGTCTGACGTTACTCTTATTTCCATTAACGAAAATATAATTAATCACACTCAAGCCGTCACAGTGAGCGTTTGGCCGTTCGTGGAAGGATGACCACAGCGACGCTTTTGGTCGCGCACATCGGCAATACTCGATGACAGTTTAATACCCTAGCCTTCTAGGTTATTAGACTGTCATCGAGTATTGCCGACGTGCGCGACCAAATTCACCGCTGTGGTCGGCCTTCCATG